TGTTATAGCAGGCATCTGGGAAAAGTGCTATTATATATGCCCGTTGTTCCTAAGGTTGCAAACCAGTTTAAAATATTAATGCATACATTTACATCCTTGTAACTTCCATAAATCTTCATCTAATGGGCTGAAAAATGTTATGCTTTCACTTTGCTTGATGACAATTTTCTTCCTGAAAGGTTGAGTGAATCTCTCCAGCTGGCAGTTGTTCCTCTTTTTTTTTTTTTTTCCTCAATTTATTCAGAAAAAGTGAGAGTGGGGGAAGAAGAGGAAACACTTTTCCCTTTAAATTATTCTAATGACATGCTTCTAAAGAGGACAACAGTTTTACCTGGTGGACTTTGAGCTGACAGATGGATATAAACAGGGTTATTTGAATGATTCTGTCTTCTTTTGGTGTGAGTGGGACAAAAAAATGGAGGTCGTGGTTTCTGATGCTGTTGCCTAAAATAGAAAAAAACTTTATGGACAATATTAGTATAGATAAGGTAGAAAACAGTTCTTTTAATAAAGCACTTTATGGTGCAACAAATACATAAAAGTGCACATGAATGTACAGGGGTTCTACAATTTTATAGCACTAATCCATCCAATCTGAGAAGTTATCCTTCCCCAGGACCTCCCCAGATCTGCCCCCCTGGCACACCTTCCTGAAATTAAATCGGAGGTCCCAAGACCCCTTTCTTCCTCATCTTCCTCCTCCTCACAGCACACTGGCCTTTGGAGCTCCTTCAAGGTTCCTGGACCTTCAAGGGTTGCTTTGGCTACAATGATATCTTATTATTCCTGTCCAGGTGCATATCCCAAACAAGATGTGCTTGCTAGAGTCTTTTCCCTTGAAAAGAACATTAAACAAAATCTAAAGAATTTAGAAAATTCAATATGAAGTGTGAGAACAGGGTTTGGTAACTGTCAACTGCTATTCTATAGTGTTAGAAACTATACAGCCATACTAAAAATCCATATTTGCTATAAATCTTAAGAATTCTAAGGCATCAGTGCCATGACGGATTGTCAGTTTAGGCATCCTAAAGTTGATGGTTTTTTTTAGTCTGTTGGCTTAAAGAGAGAGGCACTGTTCCTACAAATCCTGCTGGATAAGTGTCGTAAATGTCATTTACTATAGGTGTTGGTTACATTAGATTCCAGTTCTGTGTCATAGGAGGTAGTCACAGAAATGCAGTTGAAGACACATCTGCTTTTAAAACATGCTCTCTTTTAAGTATGACTTTCAGGCCAGAACATTTTCTTCAGTCTTAGCTCAATGGATAGACCTCTGTTACAACCTGCCCCTGAGGCAGGGTAACTGAGGTTCTCCTTAATAGATCCCTTGGGGCTGATTAGAGTGAAACATTAATGGCACTGAATGACTGGTGTTTATACATATATGGCAGGTTTATTTTAGAACAATTTGGTTGCAATGGAAAGGAGGTATGTAGCTGTTTTGGTTATTATCTATAGAAATATAACAATATAGAAGTATAAAGATATCACTTAAGAAAATATATAAGGAAAAGAAAGAAAGAGAAAGCAAGGCTAAGAGTAGATAGTGAAGAGGAAAGATATCACCACTCGTGGATCCAGCTAAGAGAATTAATTGTTGCAATTTAGATGTCTCAAAGTGATGGTTGTAGCCTTGATCCTTTGGGGGTGGGGGAAGCTTCCCCCCCCCCAAAAAAAAAAAGTTCAATGGATTAATTTACATTCAGGTTCGGGTGGGAACACCCAGGTACCTCCCCTAGGGGAGAGTTTTACACTGTCTGATACAACACTGTGGATCATGTGCAGTCCTCTGGTGGAAGGCCCCAGAAATGAGTCGGGGGGCGTTTTAGGGGTCTTGATGGTTTATGACACCTTCTAAGACATGACCCCTGTTTCTCATGCCTGATAGTTGAACCAGTTATCCCTTATCAGAGGGATGAATACCTTCAGGCATACCTGTGAATGTCCCAATACCACTCCTGGGAGAGGGGGTGTGAATTTTTCACCTGAACCTTGTCGGGAGGGAGGACATTGCCATGATAAGGAGCAGGATCTGCTTCTTATTGGCCTTTTCCCTTATCTGGCTCAACGAATTTGTTGCTAAACAAAGGTTGGTTTGTCATGGTGTAGTGGATTTCTGTGGATGGGTTTTGGTAGCGGGAGGCTGAGGGGAGGGGGGGCAGGGAGCTACAGGGGTGGTTTCTGTTAGAAGCTGCTAGAAGCTGCCCCTGTCCTGTGGAGTCAATGCCAGCTGGCTCCAGGATGGACTTCCTGCTTCTGGCCAAGGCCAAGCCAATTAGGAGTGACAGTAATGCCTCTGTGATAACATATTTAAGAAAAGAAGGTTTTTGCACAGAAGAAATTCCAGCCAGGGAACAGTGGAGTGACAACATGGTAACAACAATATAGACACCAAGGTCAGTGCAGAAGAAGGGGGAGGAGGTGCTCCAGGCACCAGAGCTGTGGCCCCTGCAACCTGTGGTGAAGACCATGCTGAAGCAGGCTATGTCCCTGCAGCCCATGGAGACCCATTGGGGTGCAGAGACCTACCTGCAGCCCATGGAGGAGCCCATGCTGGAGCAGGTGGATGTATGAAGGATGCTGTGACCCTGTGGGAGGCCCAGGATGGAGTAGGATCCTGCTGGAGACTTGCAGCCTGTGGAGAGGGAAGCCCACGCTAGAGCAGGTTTTTCCTGGGTATGATTTGTGGCCCCTCTGGGGGACCCATGTTGGTACAGCTCATCCATGAAGGACTGCACCCCATGGAGGTATGACCCACAGGACAGCCGTTTGTGAAGAACTACTGCCCGAGGGATGTACTTACGCCAGAGAGGTCCATCAAGCACTGTCTCCCGTGGGAGAGACCCCACAGGAGCAGGGGAAGAACTCCTCTCTCTGAGCAGCAGCAGAAACAACAACTGACCGTAACTCCCATTCCCTGTCCCCCTGCACCGCTGGGGGGGAGGAGGGAGAACATGGAAGGAAGGAGGGGTGGGGGAAGGTGTTTTTAAGACTGTTTTATTTCTCACTCTTTGACTCTTATCCTGTTAGTAATAAATTTAAGTACTATCCCCACATTGAGTCTGTTTTGCCTGTGAAGGTAATCAGTAACTGACCTCTCCCAGCTGTTATCTCAACTCATGAATCCTTAGCTGTTTGTTTTTTTTCTTCTCTCTCCTCTGTCCAGCTTTAGTGGGTACCTGGTATCTGGCCAGGGTCAACCCACTACACATGGTCATCCTCTGGTGGTGGGTGCACACCTGGTCTCAGCAAAGCACTCTGCTGCTTTTGGAAAAGGCCCATTGTTTGAGTCATTAACCTTTAACATTTCAGTGTCTCACAGCCTCCCAGGACCCTTAAGGAAAACCTCTGAAAAAAATAGTGTGAGCAACAATTAAAATATTGTTAAGCTGCGGTATGGCCCTAGGTAGGAACTTGGACCATATTCAAACCTTCATTCATCTCCAGGAGATGAGCAGCGGCATGGATACCTCTGTTCAGGGTTCTCTTGACCCATCGGAGCCCACAGACTAAACTTTGTTTGTTTGGGACCTAAGTGAAGGACTCAGATTAGGAGACAGAGACCTATAGGTCATTGATGGAGAGAGGGGGCACCCATGACTGACTTGACTGTGGATTCCCCCAAATTTTGACCCCATCCCAACCTTTGACATCCTTCTAAAGTCAGTGGTGTTGCAAGTGTTATAAGTGATGGGATGAGAAGAAATGGCCTCAAGTTGCTCCAGAGGAGGCTTAGCTTAGATATTAAGAAAAATTTCTTCACTGAAAGGGTGGTCAGACATTGGAACAGGCTGCCTAGAGCAGTGGTGGAATCACCCTCTCTTGGAAGTGTTCAAAAACCTGTGGATGTGGTAAATGGTTTTGTGGTGAACATGGCAGTGCTGGGTTAATGGTTGGACTCTATGATCTTAGAGGTCTTTTCCAACCTTAACAATCCTATGATTCTATTCTAAGGGAATAGGAACCCAAAGTCCTGGTCCTGCTTGATTGGTGATTTAAACCATGAATCTGATCCTCCTGATCCTATTTGCTGCCTTGGAGGGAGTTTAATGTGTGCCATGGTGCAGAAAGAGCATAATGAAATAGTTCAGGTGGAGAGGTCTTTCAGGCCTCAACTTCTCCTAGCACTTCTGTAACTATTTCCTCTTCAGCCTCATTAGAGGCAAAGCTACTCCTTTCCTTTAACCAGAGCAGCTATTGGTTATCTTGTCCTGTGTGCATTCATCTCCATCCCCTTGTGTCCTGTGCTGCTTTTGCCTCCTGCTTTTTCTTCTGCAATCCATGAGGATTTAAGGGCATTTCTTGTTTTGCTGACCCAGATGCTCTCTCTTCCCTTAAATCTGAAAGACTGATACATTCTACAAGGCAAAGCAGACTCAATGCCTTCCTCTAAATACCTCAAATTATTGCCCTTCTTACTTGCCCTTTATACACCCTGTTTTCCCGCAGTCCCCCATTGATGCTGGAGATGCTTGGTACATTATATAGCACCAAGCAAGACACCATTGCTTACTCAGCATGGAAACACAGTGCAAGCCTGCATGGACAAAATCCAACCTTTCTTACTCCTAGCCTCAATTGAAACATACAGAATGGAATAACATAGGGTGTGTTGTTTGTACAACCTCTAGACTGGGCACAGGCTAGATCCTGAACCGAAGCCTATTTTGTCCTCCTTGTGCCATCATTCATGTCTCAGAGGAATGGATGCTGAGCCAAGACCTGGTACATTCCCTATCAGGTGTGTTGTTTTATTTATTTCTTTTTTTTTTTTCCCAAAGGGAGGGAAAGCTGGTGTATTTGGCACTTTTGCAAGCAAAAATGAAATAACAGAGGAGGGGGAAAAAAAAAGGAGAAAGGAGGAATCCTGTGGCAGCAGGAGTAAATAAAAACAAACCTCTTGTTAATGATTTATACAGAGAAATCATTTTCCACAAATTTCAGGATACAGATGGAGATGTTTGATCAGAAGAAGGAGAGATTATTACCCTACTACGATGGTATTAGAAGGGGGCTACTGTGTCTGGTAGGCAACTCAGAGGCAGCTCAATACCGGAGTCAATCTAGGAAAGTTTGGTAACACAGATGATGGAATTGTGCAGGGTTTTACTTTCTGTGGCTGATCTCTGTGTCAGTAACCTTTCCCTAAATACCCATAAAACTTTCAGTTTGTAGCCTGGAGTGGTTGCCACTACCTCCAGGATGGTGTGCTTGGCAAGAGCTGCCTAGAATGGAGTAAGCATTGAAGTCCCCTTCAGTGCATGTTGACACTTTTCCCCAAAGAGTTTTATGGCTGTTGTTAAACGAATAAGTTTTTTCCTTGTAGTGGCACACACTGCTGCACCCAACAGAGTGTTTGGGGTATTCTCTTGTACTGTCTCAGGAGTCATCTTTGATTATACATCATGCCAAGAGTGATGATGCTTGGTCTGGGAGCTCAGCAACCTGGTGTTGACCTGATGTAGACAAATCTCCTGGCTTGGCTTTTTGTGTTGTAATGAACTGGAGCACAGTTGGCATATCATTCTGCTTTCTAGTGTCCCAGAAGCCTAATCTTCACAAGGGTAATGAGTAAAAATGACATGCCGACTCTTGATGTCATTAGGATCAAACACTATTCCTTGATTCAGAGGTGTAAATCCAGTGAACTGAGTCAAACTTTAGAGCAGTCTACAGCATTGTTTGTTTCGGAGGGCACAAGTGGGAGGAGGTTGGTCCTTTAGAGACCAGAAGTCAGTATGAGGTGGTGTTTACAGGTCGGATGACTGTACTCTCTTCCTTGACACATAGATATAACTTCAGGTTGTGAGTGAGTAGATTTACAAAACCTTGTCACAGTTCTCAGGTAGGAGCTTGTAAAAGTTCTTGAGCAACATGATGGGCATCTCTCCTCCTTCCACAGATGGGTGCTTTGCTACACTGGCTGTTGTCACAGCTGTACATTGGGCAGTCTTGCTTTTATGGGCCTTGTGTTTTATGGCCATGTCAGGTGTTTAATCTTTCAGTTGGCCCTCCTGTCAGCCCTGCACAATAGTTAGTTACTTACATAGAAAGGTGACTATCTGATTTAATGATGGAGTCTCAAACCTAATTATGTAGTCAAATATGATTCCATAATCTACTCTTAATGTTTCTATGTCAAGAAGACAGATATATGTGTATAATGTGCACACTTACATGCATCTATAATTATGGATATGCTTGGACTCTCATTTATTTCTGTCTCTCTATACTGGGGGGGATGCTTGCAGCCTCATCTGGATGTGAGAGATCTTTGGTTTATCATGTCTTTTCCCCTCCAGTGTGGCTTTTCCTGGCTCCCTTTGCCGGGCTTGGGCATGCTGAGGCAGAGCTAGAAGTCAGTGTTACTCAGTCACGCTGGTGGAGGTTCAGAAGGCTTGTAGCACTTGGACTCAGGGAAAACTGATGGAAACAAATTAAGATTACATTTCTGCTGTTGTTCTGGCAACTGCCATTAATCCTTGCTCCTTGTTTTCATTTGACTAGACCACATCTGGGAGATCTTGCATCCTTTCCCTTCAGAAAAAGTCTTCACATAGCCCATGCAAAATCAGAGGCAGAGGTGGAAGAACTGGAACAAAAGCAGTGTTGGAGGCAGGGGGACCATGTGGAGAAGAACCACCTTTCTTCTTCTAATTCACCCTATTAATGAATTACATGCCTTAGTTAGTTATTTTTATAATCTGGATTACAATCATTCACATATGGTCATACCATTTGTAATTATTCTTATCAGTTGAGGATTTCATACTTTACTTGTATACCCACATCTATTTTACATGTGTCTATATCCAGGTATATCTTATAAATGGGGATTTTAGCAGTGTGTTTAAAATTGTCATTCAGTGGAGAGACCAATTTACCCAGCACTGGAGATAGAGGCCAAATAATACATCACAGAAGCACAGAATGGCTGAGATTGGAATATGATAGATATGGTGTTTGAGAAGATGTGAGCTCCACATTCACTATGACATCTCACGTTCATGCCTCAGTTTCCCCTCATTTGAACTTATTCAAAAGATTTTTTTTCTTTTTCATCTTATGGCATTTTGGATTCTATGGATAAAATGAAAGCAGTCTCAGTAGCTACAGACATGTCTGGGATTAGTGTACATGGGATTTGGGCAGAATCTCCATATTGCTCCAAGCTCTCTACTGGTGCACCTGGTGCTTGAGCAAACCAGAAGAGCAGTACAAATGCTGGGCAGCTGAACCAGTGTTTGCTTGTTACTAATATGGTTGCTCCTGCACTTAGGGCAAAAACCATGCCAAGTATTATGTCTGCTTTGGAGATGGAGAATCCCCAACAGTTGGATTTCTCCCCCCCTGCTATGGGCTCTCAACTCTGTTTTTGTCCTCAGCAAATTTTCAGTTTAATCACTTTATAGCACTGGCATCTGAATACTTGCTACCTTTGGGTCTGGTGATATCGTCATCTGCAGGCTCTTGGCAGAACAGGAGGCCAATATTTTTAAGTGGGATTTTAAGGTGGATTTGTCATGAACTCACCTGACACTGGTGTAATGCAATGACTTTATTAATCTATTGCTTGTTTCTGTGGACGTGGAGACACATGGCCAAGCAGGGATGTCTTTGGGCATTATGACCCAGAGCAGAAACCTGGCTTATTATTCACCATCCATAAAACATTACCCAATGCCTCAAAACCTGAAAGACCCTTCCCAGCTCAGAGCCATGAGTTGCATTTCAGCTTCCATTCAACATAGGGTCCCAAGGGGGTTGGTTCATTACACCAGTGGTTGTGGTCCCTTCCCTGCACCCTTGGTGACTGTGGACTCATCCTGCTGCCCTGCCTGCTGAGCTAGATGCTGTCTGCCAGAAGCCTTCTCTTTTCTACCAGCAGCAAAACAAGTTTAAAGCCTGTGGGCAGAGGTTGGCACAGAGTGCTGATTGTACATTCATGCATACCAGAGCAGTAGCTCCCTGGAATGCTACACCTCCCAGCTTTTACCACCTTGCATTTGTGTTGCAGCCCAGGACTGTGTGTAAATTTCATCCCTCTCCAAGGAGATTAACAATTCAAAATGGCAGATAAATAGGATGGCCTTTTTTTTTTTGATTGGACCAGTTGGAAGAGGAAGGTAACCCTGACTCCCATAACCTCCATAGGCAAAAAAGAGAGGTGAGGTGCAAGGTTGGTCAATTAGATGGAAGAGCTCCTTGCAAGTGGGTGGCTTTAATGTACTAATTGCATTAGTAATTGGTGACTACCACATGGTTAACACTTGGGTTCAAAACTCTGTAAGGGCATTAACTAACCCACCCTACAATGGATTTGAATGAGGTAAGCGTGATCCTTGTTTCACAGGTGGTGAACTGGAGAGACCTGCTGACTAGAGAGTGAATCAAGGCAGGCATACAGGAGACCTTGGGTCTGTTAGTTCTTCAAGATCACCTTAAATGAGAACGGTGGCAGCAGCTCTGGGAAATGAGTCTCTTCCCTATTGCCGGAAGATGTGCAATTTAAGCATAAGCGTTTTTATGGTGTACTTCTATGAGCTACAGAAACCATCTCTAAGACCAGATGGCAACTTAAGCTCCATGATAGTTCTTCCTTTTTTTTCCTTTTTTTTTTTTTTTTCTGCTTGGGCTGTCAGCTTGTGCTATTTATGGGAGCTTTATTTTAATTTGTGTCTGCTAAAGTAGCAGAAAATATTTTTGTTTCTCTCTGAAATTTCTTCAGCTAATTTTGTAGACTAAACTGGCTTGTAATGATAGGGAGGGGGGAGGTGGCTGCTGGGGGGATTTTCGGGAGGGTGTATGAAAGCACCTCAATACCTTTAAAAATACTCTATGTGGTTTTTTTTTTAACCAAATATTTGGTTTTTGGCTCAGCCTTTCTATGTCATTGGATGATACAGCTTTTGCCTCAGTTGACCATTCACAGCTTCTCCCATTAACTTTGGCCAAGACTTAGTAAAGTACTGAATATGAGTGATTCCATCTCAAAGGGTTCCATCTGCGATATTCTAAAGAAAGCCAACATTTGAAGGATGAGAGCACAGTCTGTGCTTCAGTCAGCCCAAGCCTTTGCCACAAAGCAGCAGTACCAAAGGGTATGAGGAAGTCTGGAAAACATTGAGTTTAGCTTTCTTCCATCACCCTCAATACCTGAGACACTGACATACCCTCCAAGAGACCCAGGTGGATCCTCCTGCACTTCCAACATCCCAGGGAGCATCTTGGGCTGTAGTCAGTGTGTAATGAATAATTCATCCAAAGCAGGTTTCCCCCATAATAGCTAGCCAAGGGCATCTCTCTCTCGAACCTGAGAAGCTGGTAAATAGGGAGTTTGAAACTCTGCTGCCTGATTCATAGACCAACACCATGTTTTCTCTGCTCTGATGACTGGATTATTGTTTAACCCAAGGCAAGCATCTGCCTCCATTTTTTTTTCCTTCTGAAAAACCCTGACAGCAAGCACTTTGAAGTAATGAGGAGGTTCATGGTTGTGGAAAGCTGGTTGTTCCCTCATTTATTTCCCAAGTCGAGTTGAAGGTATTTGCATTTAGACAACATTTTTTTAAAATATGTTAATTTTCATCAATTTAGCAATACACATGGCTATTGTTCCTTGCTTTGTGATACCAGATAGTTTAATGAGACTGAAGTGTTTTGCTAAGGAGGATGAGTTATGAGGAAGAACAAACTCCTCCCTCTAAGCAATTGTAAATCCGAAATTAAGAGGAAATATGGAGAAAGAAAAAATAACAGCCCTTTAATAAAGGATATATGTGTATTGGCAGAACAACAAAAGAACACAAAAACAACTAATCCTGTACTCAAAAGTCCCCTAAAAAAGGAAACAGTTCAGTACTTTCTGCCTTTTGGCACAATTCTAACCATGATCAGCAGGGGGCACTGTTGAATCACTGGAGGAACAGAGCCTGCAGCTGCTCCGTGGTGGTCAGCAGGGGGCGCTGTTGGGCTCTGGCAGTTGCCATGTGGGGGCCCCAGTGTGCAGGAGAAGCTGAAAATGGAGATCTTCCCCCCCCACACTGAGAAGGGGAAGGAGAAAAGGGGGAAAAGGGTGTTCTTCCCACAAAACTCACCCTGTCTGCAGCTGGCTGTGGCTGAGATTCCCCCCCTTCGTTGATGGGCACAAGCCACTGCCAACATGGGAGCGCAGGAGGGAAAGAGCAACCTCCTCCCCAAACGGTTCCTCTGCAGATGGGTCAAGACTCTCTGATGAAATCCGAGCAGGTCTGGGCTGGGGGCAGAACAGGGTGCAGGAAAATGGAGGCAAACCAGGGCCAGGAGCAGCCAGATGACCACGCCAAAACCAAAGTGAACCTCAGACCCCTCCAACACACACCCTCCCTCAGTCAGGGCAAAAGTGAGATGCCGTTTCCTGAGGAGAGGAAAAAAACCTCATCACTTCCTTCCCCTCCCCAGTCTTCTGAGGGCTATCAGTCTGTAATGTGGGTCTGCTAGCTAGTTCCCTTGTGTGTGTCAATCACCCTAGGCAAACACCTTCCCCCTCCCTCCTTCAACATCTTTCTTTTACAGCAATGCAGGGGAAAGAAAAAAAAAATCTCCCTTGTTTTTTTTAGAACAAGTATACCTATGACATAGATCCAGCCCTCAGACATGTTGGCAAGCCTTGGTTCCCACTTTGCTTCAAGGACAGCCCTTGAGGTGCTGCAGGGGAAACCCAAGCGCATCCTGTTTCAGTTATCTCCCCACTTGCATTCAATGCATGTGCACATGCTAACTTCCTTTTTTTCTCTTCTTTTCTTTTGGCAGTGGCAGATTTGGTCTCTTCTGAGCTCCTTGCAGCCTTTGGGTGATCAGGACATTGAATTTGGCAGAGAGTTACCATTTATTCCTTTGGATCATACCTACCCTTGCTTTCCTCATCCCCTCCTGTGCTCCCCTTCCCTCGAATAAAACTCCAGGTCATTGCAGGAGCCCAAGGAGACTTTGGGCAGCTCTTGGCAAAGGAGGGCCGAGGCAGACTTTCTGCCAGCCACTGTCACCTCTGTGAAGCCTCCATCTGCCTCTGGCTGTGCAGGGGAGATGATGCTGCCTTTGGCAGGCTCAGGGAAAGAAATCCTGATGAGTGGCAAAAGGTTGGAGCCAGAAGAAGAGGATGAGCTGGGTTCTGGGAGAGATGTGGATTCTACTTCCAATGCAGACAGCGAGAAATGGGTAGTGGGAGATGGCCTGGAGGAGCAGGAATTTTCCATCAAGGAGGCTAACTTTACAGAGGGGAGTTTAAAACTAAAGATACAGACCACCAAGAGAACTAAGAAGCCCCCCAAGAACTTGGAGAACTATATTTGCCCTCCTGAGATCAAAATCACCATCAAGCAGTCTGGGAACCAGAAGCTTTCTAGAGCTGGTAAAAATGGCAAAGCAGCTAAAGAGGAGGACAGATTGCACTCCAGAAAGAAGGTAAGTCCTATTCTTTCCTGTATTTCCCCCTTCTCCTGAAAGCAGAGGGAGAGGGGAGGATAAAACATGCTCAAACAGTTTATGTCCAAGATATAACCTTTGCAGGGTTTGCAAAGCCCTGTTTGGCCATGGAGGAGGTAACACTGAGTGGGTGTCATCCTGCATCACCACATATGCTGTGGGGATGATCTTGAACTATCCCTCAGATAAACCAGTTCTGAAGGGATCAAAGTTCAGCTGGGCCTCTTCTATTTTTGTTTGTACTTGAGGTTTAAGATTAATAATTACACGAGTGATAAATGAAGGAGGCCACTTCTAAATTGCTTTGGGCCTGAGTGCTAATGCTCGAGTCTTTCGGCAGTGAAAGCTTTCAACTGCATTTTTAAAATACAGTACAAATACAAGTACAATACAAATGTGCATTGTGAACAATAGAATCCATTCCTGAATACTGGGCAAAGGGCTTCATTATTCTTGATTACAGCATTGTGTGAGCAACACTATAGTTATGTTTCAGAAAATGCTTCCACTATAAGTCTCATTTTCTCCCAGATGCGTATAATTTTCTTGAAATATCCTTCTGCAGAGAAATTTTTGGTACTTTAACTTTGGGTAAAAATTATTCTTTTTATTTTTTCATTTAGTCAAGGAGAGGAAGAGGGTGGGGAAAAGAAAGAAAATCCTTTCTTTGTATGAGCTGTTTCAACCTTTTATTTTGTCCTTGTCTTGATTTTTCAGTAGTGTCACCTACATTTAGTCTTAAAACAAATTTAGTTTGAGTGTTTTAAGCAGCGCTGGTTGGGAGAGGGACACCTGGTGACTACTCATGTCTTTTTGGGTGTAGTGATGTTTCTGTCCTAGGCACTAGACAAAGGAGCTTTGGTCATGTTGAGGCTTTATCATAGTACAAATAATAATGGCCAGTCTTCGCGAGCGAAGATCCGGGGAAGGTCTTTACACCTTCCAGCCTGCGCATTGGATTTTTTTAGGTGAGACACAGTGTGCGCGGAACTGAGCCCACCCTTTAATCCTAAGGTTCATCTGCCGGGGCCAAGCGAGCTTGGACGGTGGCAGCGAGGTCCTTAGGACGTAGGTGGGTCCGCGGTGATAACGCGGCGCCTTTACCACTAGACCACCAGGGGCTCCCATAGTACAAATAGAATCACAGAATATGCTGAGTTGGAAGGCACCCATCAGGATCAAGTCCAACTCCTGGCCCTATGCAGGACACCATGTGTTTGAGAGCATTGTCCAAACGCTTCTTGAACTCAGGCTTGGTGCTCCCTGGGGAGCCTGTTCCAGTGCTCGACCACCCTGTGGGTGAAAAACCTTTTCCTGATATCTAACCTAAACCTCCCTTGACTCAGTTTCTTGTCATTTCCTCGAGTCCTGTCACTGGTCACTAGAGTGAAGAGACCAGTACCTGCCCCTCTGCTTCCTCTCGTGACAATGTTGGACCTAAATGAAGTCTCCCTTCAGTCTCCTCTTCTCCAAGCTGAACAAACCAAATGACTTCAGCGACTTCTCATACGGCTTCCCCTCCAGACTCTTCACCATCCTCGTGGCCCTCCTTTGGATACTCACTAATAGCTTAATGTCTTTTTTATATTGTGGTGCCAAAAACTGCACACAGTACTCAAGGTGAGTGACTCTGCAACAGTGCAGAGTAGAACAGGTTGGAAGGGACCTTAAAGATCATCTAGTTCCAACCCCCCTGCAGTGGACAGGGACACCTTTCACTAGACCAGGTTGCTCAGAGCTCCATCCAACCTGGCTTTTAACACTTCCAAGGATGGGACATCCACAGCTTCTCTGGGCAACCTGTGCCAGTTCCTCATCACCCTCACAGTCAAGAATTTTGTCATATCTAATCTAAACCTACTCTCTTTCAGTTTGAAAGCATTCTCCCTTATCTTGTCACTGAATGCTCTTGTAAGAAGTTCCCCTCTGTCTTTCTTATACCTTCAGGTACTGGAAGGTTGCAATTAGGTCACCCAGAAGCCTTCTCTTTTCCAGGCTGAACAAACCAAATTGTCTCAACCTTTCCTCATAGGTGCTACATTCCTCTAATCATCTTCGTGACCCTCCTCTGGACTTGCTCCAACAGGTCAATGCCCTTCCTGTGCTGGAGATCCCAGAACTGGATGCAATACTCCAGGTGGGGTCTCACCAGAGTGGTAGAGGGGCAGAATCACCTCCCTTGACCTGCTGGTCACGCTTCTTTTGATGCAGTTCAGGATACTCTGCCTCCTTAGTAGCACATGGGCATCATGATGAGTTCAGACAGGAACCCAGATTTGATGAAAGACTCATGAGTATCTCCAAAACCTGGACAAATTCATCTGGGATGTAGGCACCTACTGATTAGAGCTTGGGGCATGACCTGACTTTCCTGCTCATGCAACTTGGATCCCTCTTCTCCCATACACAGTTGTTGAATGCTCAAAGGGTTACTTGAAGCCTTGAGGAGGATAATTGCCAATGGCTCTCCTTGGAGACAGCCTCTTCAACAGACTAACTTAGACCAAAATTTTCGTAACTCTAAATCACTTTTTGAAGCATCAACATTTCCCATTGAATCGAGGCAGAGCCCAAGGGGATTAATATTGCTCACTGTGAGAGTACTTCTCTTAGAAGCTGAATTTGAAAAGAAACCAACAAATCATGGGGATTTTTTTTCTCAGAATTCTGCTAAATGGCATAGTCTATGTGCATGAAAAAAATAGCTCCTTTTAGCACACAAGTTTGGCCCTATAACACACTGAGATTTTCCCACCTATTGAGAGGAATGGGCTATCTTCTTAGCGCCAAGCAATGTCTCATTTCCACCTCCCTTTCCTCCCTGAATACTTGCAGAGGCGATGAAATACACTATAGGAAGAGACTGGAAATGAGTGGGAGAAGGGTCCCAGTCCTGGTAGTGCAATTGCTTTCATGACCAATGCATGTGTCTCATGACAGTTACAGAGATTTTTTGGGGGGAAGATAGGAGGAAGTAGCAAGTTGAAACATGGAGCTGTGGCTGTTTGGTCCAACTATGGGTTTCCCTGTGTGAGAGGAGTATGCAGGAACCTTCTGCATAGAATCATAGAATATCCTGAGTTGGAAGGGACCCACAAAGATCATTGAGTCCAACTCTTGACCCTGCACAGGACAGCCCCATAGGACAATGGTTCTGCATGTCCTTGCAGAACCATTGAGAGCTGTGGTAGTGGTTAAAAAAACAAAGTGATTGTCCCATTTAAATGATTCTGGAAGTTTTGATATTTCAGAGTTAGGTTGTTTGATTGTTGCTTTAATCAGCACAAACTCCAGAAAAGCAGCTACTGGAAGCAGCAGGAGGGAACAATGCATTTAAAACAGTGGGGCAGACCTTTCAGCTCCTTCCACTGTCCTCCATGGATTTTTTGCCAGGAGAGTTTGGCCCAATGTACACATTTCCCTTGCACATGGGAGCAGCATCATTATTTGAGTTTACCGCCTTGCTCATGGAAACAGGGCATATATAGAGGCCCCACAGACCATATATAAGGATGGACAGTTGAGCATAACCTGACCTGCAAGTGCCATTCTTGTGTATCTGGTGGGTGGGAGCAGTTGTCTTGCACCTCATGAAGTAGCACCTGAATTTATTTTTCCCCCTGAGTAGGAGCAAACTCTATCAGAACTTGAAAAATCACTTAAGTTTGTTGCATAAAAATTTCAGCCACATCTCCAGTAGTCCCCAGTGCTTTGAAATACACTTCAGCATGAGCTTCAATACACACAGCACAGAGGGCAAGTAATGAAAACATAGAAGCAATTTAAGTAACAACATGTGGGTACACAAAGGACTGGTAATGCCAACAATGTAAAAAGGGACTGTGAACTAGGGATATAACATTTATTCAGTGACCACTTAGGGAGAAAGAAGATATGCCACTTCCTAAGCTTTCCAATGATCTTCTAATTAGGCAATAGGGGTTAGTGCCTGATTTCTAAAGCTGCGGTCTGGGGTGCAGTAGTGATTAGAAGGGGGTTCTGTGACAAGGCCTGGGTTTTTTGCCTTTGGTTACAGCTGCTACACTATTCTAAAAGACAAGCATACATTAAACACTCATGTTGGTTTTCCATGTGAGCAATCACCCTGTGGATGTTATGCGATCACGAATGGGAGGGGAAGGAATTCAGGAGAGGATCTTACTGGTTGCAGTTGCTGATGCCCTGGAGTAAGAAGTGAGAGAGCATCAGTGTTGGGAACCTTGAATGCTTGGCTGCAACGCAACAACTTTCGGGGTTTCTGTTAAGTCATGACCATGCCAAGTTTCACATCAGCTTCCCCTACTAGAAAATAAGAGTGAAGGTAGTTTCCTAACCCCTTTCCCAAGGCTGCTCAGAAGGTGAATTGTAGTTTGGGCCGTCCCTGCAGCTGCTTGTGTGGCAATTGGAAAGTGCACAAATATTCTGTAAGTTTTCTCTTATTTCAACCCTTCAGTGCCTGGGGATGGAATGGGTTGGACCCTTGACACTTCTAACCCCACAAATGGCTCCATTTCATTTAGTCTGATTGGAGAGGGAGGGGGGAAAAAAAAGCTGGTAGCCCAAAGGATATCCTGCTGGCATACTGGCAAGTCCTGCAGCAGGGTTGCTAGAGTCCAGCATCCTCAGCATCACTAAAGGTGCCTTTTCCTTTAGATAAGGAAACATGCTATCAGTCCAGAAGGACACTGAAAGCATAGCACCAAATGCAATGAAGCAATTCATCAGCATTCCCTGACTGTCACGTAGAATTTAACAAGCCCCAGATAAGCAGTATTTCCCTGGTTTTATTACCTACCCCCCCCCCCGCCCCCCATATTTGCTGCTCTGTTTTCTTGTGTCTGCAAACAATTTTCCATCCTTTCTTTCTTTAAGCATAGCCTGACAAAGTTTTTTTGGACCTTGCATCATATGCATAATGTCCTGCTTCGGGGGATGTAAACTCTTTATTTTGGTAACTTTTATTGCACTGAGGTTTTTTG